GGAAACCCCAAGGCAGCCCGGCGGCCGACCTAGGTATTGTTCATAATGAGAACGAATGCGAGCCACGGCCACCAGTCTACCTGCAGAACAGGTGGTTTGAGAGTGAGGACGCGGGAGCCTTGGCTGTTTCGCAGGTACCCTTGACCTCGTCCACCATGGCGGACCCGCCACACTGCTCTGGAGCCAGAAGAAAATCTGCCTTTTAGCTAGATTAAAATCCCTTTCTATGGGAAAACAGCCTGGCAGCCTGGGAAGCTACATAAACGTCTCTGGTTTTGTCTCCTGGCGCCCACAGAGAGGGGCTTGGACTGCCTGCCTGCGCTAGGGGCATCCTCTACCTACCCTGCCCCGCCCCTCCCTCTCCACTCCCGCTCCAGTTCCACAGGCATCACTGGTGGGAGCGAGGACGGCCATTGTATCGACAAGAAAAGGAAAGCTCTGGAGGCACAAGCAGCTCTTGAACCCAGGACTCCACGCGGTGGACTGCCCCCACGGGGTCCATTCTCACCTGGGAGCCCTCCCCGTTGTTTTAATCCTAATCCAGGAGTGGCAGTGGCTCTGGACTCTTGCTCCAGCCTGTGGCCCCTTGTTCGGTGGCTCTGGTCAAATCCCTCCACTTCTCCAGGTTAGGCGGCCCACCCATCTCTAGCACATGATTCTCCCACTAACACCTCCAGGAAGTCTGCCAGCCTCACCATGAAGACCCTTTCCCTTGTGTGGCTGACTTAACACTACCTCACTGTTAACCTTGGAGCTCCAAGGTGAGAGTGGACCCTCACGTAGAGTGTAGACAGGGAGGAGATTAAGGGTATTAAAAGTCAGTGGCCTCACCCTGGGGCTGTGTGAGGGAGGCAACAGCATCTGCCTACACTTTCCTTTTCTTGATTTGTTCCACAAATAACAATTAAGCACCTGCTTTTCCAGGCTGGGAAACAGGTAAGACAGAATTTGTCCCTGCCGTCTAAAGTTTTAAGCCAGGGTTGGAGGGAAAGGGAGGGCCAGGTAGGGGAAATGTAGACTGCTTTGGGAAGAGAAACCAAGAAGGCTTCCTGGAGCTCTGAGGTGAGAATGGGCCCTGTGAGGGCCAGTCCAGCAAGTGGGGTCCTGGGTTCAAGGCCTGCCTGTGCCTCTAAGGGCCTCCTTTTCTTATATAAAATGGCTGTGATGATAATAGCTCCTCAAAAGACTGTCTTCCAGTTGCTAAGGGTGCTGTCCAGAGATATGGCTGTGGGTCTCGTAGGTAAGTCTACCCTCCTACCTATGGGTACGCATTTTGTATCCACCCACCACTCACTCACCTATTTATCTGTCATCCATCCCTTCATTCATTCATTCATTCATTCGTTCATCAAACATCCATTCAGCACATACCTTGTGCCATGAGTCAAGGAATAGGTCAATTCTTCCCAGACCTGGAGGAGTTCCCGGGCTGGTGGGGTGGGAGAACAGTGACAATACAGTGTGGTAAGTTTTGTAACCAGGAATCCTCATGGTCAGTGGGAGCCAGATAGAAGACAGTGTGAACCAGGGGCAAGAAGCCCATGGAGATTTTCTGGAGGAGGTGCCATTGGAACTGGCCTTGAAGGATGAGGAGGGCTTCACCAAGTACCAAGATAGGAGAAATAGCCTCTGACTGGAGGGCACAGGCATCAGGAGGCCAAGTTACCCTTGGGTGATGGATGGGAGCTGGACTTGAAGGCTTGGAAATCACAGAGGGATAAGGGTGTGCTCCTGGAACTTGGGTTACTATTGTGTCCCCATCCCACACCCCACCTAGAATCAAACTGTGCACATAGTAGTAGCAAGTGCTTGTTGGCTGTTAAAATAAGGCCAGCTTCCTCTATCAAACACTGTCTGCCAAGCACTACACTAAACACTTAATTGAGCACGTATTCTCCACAGCAATGCTATGAGGTCCTCCCCATATTTACAGCTGAGGAAACCAAGGTTTAGAGGAATGAGGTCACTCGCCCAGGTCACCTCATAGGACTCAGACCAGAAGGTCCCTGCTGACTCTGGGGCTTGTGTTCATAACTTACTGGGTGGCTCCAGTTGAAGCTGGCAGCCCCTAGTAATTCTGTTTGATTCGGCCAACACTTCTAGGTCACCCTCTGGTCTCTATAGGGGAGCCAGGAATGGAGCAGGCCTGCCCTCGGGAAGCTCCCGGTTGACCCGGCAGGGGAGGATAAGGCCAGCCAAAAGACAGCTGGGATGGGGACGGGATGGGGTAAAGTCCCACTGGTGGGGAGAGGGTCACAGAGCAGGCCTTTGGAAAAGTGGCTATTGCAAAAAGCAGAGGTCGGGAAGGGAGCCATTTCAGGTGGGAGGGAGAGTGGAGCATGAACCCTACAGATCTCTCACACATGCAGATCTTCTGAACCCCAATCCAGGCCAGAGGGCCACAGACCCCCCTGGAATGCATGTTCCACAAGGGCAGCTCCCGGAACAAGGCCCAGCATGTGTTAGGTGCTCAGTTAATATTCATTCTGTACGTGAATTCTCTTCCCCTGTCCTCACGCTGCTTGTCTTAAGGCCTATGTGAGGGGCTGGAAGATCAGGTCACAAGCAGGCTCGTCCTAGAAAGGGGGGGAGGGCATCATGGTTTGAAGAATCCCTGAGGACCAGAGGGGCCCTCATTACAGCTCATCCTCTAACTTGCTACTTGACTTTGGGGAAGTCATCTCACCTGCCCGAGTCTCAGATAACTTCAGCGGAAACACAAGGCAGGGGTGAGAGATGACTCCTGCAGAGCCTTGTTATCATGAAAGTGACAGTATTAAGACTTTTCCCCTAATTCCTTCGCACACAGAAACTCACCCAGCAATATTTAAGGCAGCTGGCAACCAAGAAGCAGCAACAAGTTGGCAACAGGAACCAGATAGAAGACGCTGCCGAGAAGCTCAAGGCAAGTGGGCCTTTCTCCCTCCTCCTAGTTGAGATGTCCACGTTTCTCCTCGGACACAAGGTGCAGCCAGTATGCAGCCAAGGAAAAATTAAAACCAACCTCAGAGGAGATCAGGCCTGGTGGGGCCTGGGCTTCTGTAATGTAGGGCAGCGATTTTCAACCGGTGTGTCACAAGAATTTTTAAAACATGCAATACCTGACTATTTAGTCAAAGGCATGGACCGCTTTTCCCTTAGATGATCAAATGAAAAGCTGACAACAGCCAACACAACAATAGCCATCCGGTGTGAATGAATGAAAATTATACCTAATTTTTTTTTTTTCAGATCGGCAGAAAAGTATATTTTTGGTTGGGCCACGGGATTTTAGTAATTAGTTTATGTGTGCCATGAGATGAAAAAGGTTGAAAATCACTGATTTAGGGGGCCCTTTTTAAGCAAAAGAAAACAATATTAGGTGTAAGATCATGATGAGGGGGTCTTGCTAGGGAGGGGCCTGAGGCTACTGTTCCATTCGCTTTGTGGTGAGTCTGCCTCTGCCCCACACCCCAGCCTTGCCCCATAATACCTCACAGAATGGCGGAGTCACCCTTCTCTCGCCATCACCAAGGCCATTCTCCTGAAGGGACTAGTCCTCCATCTCCTAGACACCTTAAACAAAGCAAAATGCAGCTTAAGGAACACACAGATAGCTCTTTAAGTTTCACTGCCATGGTGAAAGGGAAAGTAAGGTATAAATATATTCCACAAATATTTCCTTTCTTTAGGCTTCTCCTTTCCTAATGGTGTTTGCTGAAATGGATTCTTTTGTGTTTTAAGTGGGAAGTCGGGGCTGATGGTATTATGAGCTGCCATTTTGACTGAAAAAGTTGTTCTGTCTCTAGGGGCCTTTTATGTGAACTCGGCCAGCTTCAGCGCCCGCTCCTGGGAGTGAGGGCTGGGGTGGGGGTGCCCTCCCAGGGCCTGCTCTGCTGAAAGCTCAATGAGCCCCTCACTGACTGGCTCTGACTGTGGCAGTAGCCCACAGCCGGGGGTGGGGTCGGGGGTCCCTATCTGCAAATCTCTGAGCAGATACAGTGTGGGGCCCCCAAGACAAGATTAGGAGCCACATGGAGAGCCTAAGGGAGCCAGGTTCTGCTTAATCTAAGGTGTGGAAATGCCGAGGCCAAGCCAGGCCACGGAATTGGCTCCCTGTCTGCCCAACATCCATTATCTGAAAGATGACTGACTACAGGACTCAGTTTGCTGAGGAAAGTTGTGGTTTATACCCCTGGCCCTGGCGTAATTGTGAATAGTGTCCCTCACATCTTCAAGGGTAGGACTCCAATCTCAGGCGGATAAATCAGTTCAAGAGGATTTGGAAACAAAGTTGACGCACCTGATGGGATGG